TGTTTTACAATTTAAAGGGTTTTAACTGGGATAACGATATTATATTTTTAAAAATATTTTAGTTGTTAAAAACATAAATTATGATGCCTTTAAAACAATTAGTATTTACAAGTCCAAAAGTATTTAGAAACCTATTAGAGGGAAAACTAATCCTTCGGATATGAACACTTTTTCCCAATTGAAGGCACCCATCAACTTTGTGGCAAAACTATTAGAACCCGTGCTTAAGCTAGGGCATCTCGAACCGCCCCAGTCAAAGACCTTTCCTGGTTTTTTATCCACCTTTTTTCCATTGTTTTGTTTGGCGAAGCGCCTTTCCTTCGCATTTGGGCCTTCGTCTTCGCTTTGGCATTGTCTGTTAAATTACGTATACGCCTCGCAGCGCACAACTTCCAACCGTCGGCTGATGTGAGTGTGTGTGGCATGCAAACAAAAGCCGCTTGTCTGTCAGAGTCGAACTTGAAAACTTTCTTGCGTTGAGATTTCTTCTTCCTTAATTTTTTTTTTTTGTTTTGTATTTTTGGGTTGGGCGCATAACACAAGAACAACAACAAAAATGAGTTGTAAATGTCAAAAGCGTTCGGAGGATGCCGTAGACAATTTTCAAATGCTGGCAATCTGCAAAGCAATTTGAAAAGAAATGAAAATATGCGCAATAATTTACACCCTAGGCAATTTTTTCCCGCTATGCCACGGCCCCATACTAATATCAATTCTTGTTTGGATTTTGTCGTTATTTTTATACCCGTTACCCGTGGAGCACACTGGGTATACATAATATTCGATTATCTTTCGGTACTTTGCCTTCAATGTAGTTTTTTTCCCAAACTATCTTCGTTTTTTTTAAGCAGAAAACAAATGCATGTTTAATATTGAATATTAATAACAGTGTTAAAATATTATTAATATTAAGCAGATAACAGCTTATAAGTTTTAAAGTAGCTCTTATTTTTTCGGTAACTTGCGTATGTATCCACAATCATATCAATAATATTATAATTTTAAAAGCCTTAAAACCCATAAAGAATAATTTTTGATTGCCCAAACCAAATCGTTTTATCTTTTTTAGACCGATTGTTTTGTGTGTTATTTTCTCATTAGTGATATTCATCAATAGGTGATAAATTAACGTTTTACCCTATTAACTAATGTGATTTTGCTTAAACCGCAGGTCAAACTAAGAAGTATTGGGTATCGGCAAGTCGTAAATCTCGCCCACAGATTTTCAGCCCGCTTCTGGTCCTTGTTGCTTGTGGCATGACAACTCTTCAGCAGGCGAATGACGATTCTGATGGCCACCCATGTCCTCCGCTTGCCAGCGTGTGCGTGTGTGTGAGTGTGTACGTGTGTTCGTGTGTGTGTTTTGGCTGTAAGCAGCTGTCAGTGATTTCTGACAAATTGATTTGACAGTCGACAGGCGACCAAGGAGAACAAAATGCGGGGCGGTACGAACTTTCGGGCCAGGCAGCCCAGCAAGTCGGGCGCGTGTGCTAAAAAAAGATGAAAGCCGCCGTTGCCGTTTGCCGTTTGCCGTTTGCTACCACTCTTGTTGCCATGTCTATGCGTGAGAGAGACGGGGCGAGAGAGGCTGGCCCGCTGCTCTCCTAGCCAACGGAAAAAAGAGAAAGCAGCCAAGCAGAAGCCGAGGCAGCGCCAAAGAGTTGTTGCCCCAAAGAGCAGAGCGTGGTGAATTTTTTTATGCTGGCTGTGTGTATATGGATTTGTTATTGTTATACCCTGTTGGCCAAAAGGGTATGCTGCACGGGGAGAAATACCCGTCAGAAATGTAACCCGGATGTTGTATGAAATCCGGCTAATTTACAAGATTTGATACACATCAGTAAGAAATAATGGCACAGGAGTTTTCACAACTTTCAAATCGTCTTCCCGCTTATTACTTTGTGGTTAAGTTAGAAAGAGCTTAAAAATCCACTTTAAATAACAAGATGATGGTGAAGTTGTAGGTTTTTAAAACTTAGATTTCAAATGATTATTTAATAAACATTTGTTTAATATTTTTAATGCTGTGCATATCTAAATTCCTGCAACGCCAGCTGTCAGATTTGATACGCCTTTTTGCTCCGTGCTGAAATCAAAGACTTCAAGTTACTGCTGCCTGTTACAATAGAGCCAGTCGCTTTAAAATGTTTCCCGGTGAACGCTGCTCCTCTGGCAGTTTGTTTCGCTTTCTGCTGCCAGTTAGTTACAGCTAGTTACCTGCTGCGCCAAACTCAGCGCAGTAACTTTAGCTGCTGCTTGATTGACGTTCCAACTGATTGACTAGACTAGTGACTGACGGACTGGACGGAAATCGGAGGGGGAATGGGCGAAGTGGAAGGGGAGGGGGAACCCCCTGCAGCATAACAAATGGCTGCGGTGGGGTGGCAATGGCAATGGTGATGGCGATGGCGATGGGAGTCGACTTTAAACAGGCATGGGAAAATGCCATTAGATGAGCAGCTGCCAACGTCAGTGAACGGCGTCTCTCACTTGACAGTTTTATTTATAAACTGTGCAAATAAAACTGTAAATCACTAGGGACACAGCCAGCGAAAGCTGGTGGGGAAAAGTGACCTACATAGATGCCAGGCTTGGCAAAAAAAAAAAAAACGAAAAAAAACAAGAAACAAGGAGAGAAAAAAATAAAATAATACCCGGCACACTGGGAGAACGAACGATGCCGCCACAAATCAAACAATTAATTTTACTGTCTGAAATTCCAGCACTAAATCAACAGCCAAACAATTGAACCATTTAACTATGTAAATAAAATTAATGCTCCCTGAAAGTGGAAGCTGGCAAAGAGTGGGGAATGGGGCAAGTGGGGATAAGGATGTGGGGGAAATGGGGGATTGAGGAGCACTGGACAGCCCCACCTTATGCCGCAGCCAGCAAAGCAAAATATCCATTAAAAAGCAATCAATATATGGAAAATAAATGCCAGTCACCCTGCCATTCGTCCTCATCTTATTTCATCTAGTTAAGAGCCTCTGCCAGCCGCATAATCTGAATTTAATTTACCCCGCAAACACACAGCAACAACAACAAAAACAACAACAACAGCAGCACAACAGCAGCAGAGCACGAAAATAAGGCAAACAAAAACTGAAAAATGTCAAAAACGAAAATGAACTTTCCAGGGGGTTTTCCGTTAGCAGTGGGCTGCTTGCCTGTTTGGCCGTTAGTGTTGGCTGGCGAATGAATGGCCATTAAGTAGCACACCCATAGAAAAAGGACCCAAGGAGCTCAAGCTCAAGGTGAGTTCGCCAGAGCGAGAGGGAAGATTCAGGCCGTGGCTACGAAAAAATAAGTGAGAGAAAGTGCGAGAGAGAGAGCAAGTCGGCCGAAAATATTCCACAGTGAGTTGCCATTTTGCTGCTCCAACATAATTTGTATGCCCCAGCCTCCAGATCCCTCCTCAATCCCCGCTTTCGCCGCGCCTTACTTGACCTGATTCTAGTGACGTCATTCGCTGGGTAGGCCACACTGCGAATACGTAATGTGCGAATCGGGTTGCATTAGGCTGGTGGAAGTGGTAGTGGTTGTGGTGGAGCACGGCAAGTGGATAACTTGATTAAATGGGAATACATTATATTATTTCATTTGTTCAAGCACAAAGGCTCAGCACAAAGGGTAAGGCGAGTCACCATCATCCATTCAACTTGAATCCGAGCGGGAAAATCTTTGAAAGCCCAACGCCGTTTTTCTCCTCTATTTGATTTTGACGTGCCATTGACCAGCCACAAAACTGATATCTTCAATTTTCAGCTGCAACTTCGTGCGGGAAAAAGGCAACGTTGTGGCAAAGGAGCCAACATGCAACTTTTAAGGCAGGGAGAACTGACAGCTGGCACCAACTTATAACTCAAAGTGCTCTGGCTCTTTGGGCCCCAAGGCATCGCCTTCTTCTTTCTTTCTTTTTTTTTTAACCCACGAACAAACATACACACACACACATCCAGAGGGTGACGGTGAAAAGATACAAAACTTGCAAAAACGAGAGGGAAAAAGAAAAGTTTCAGTTACGTGCTGTTGCTTTTAATTGAATTTTTTCCCACTGTAGCTTCTGCTTTCTCCCTAACTGGCCGCTGTGGGCAGCCAATGGTCCAATGGCCTGACCAAGCACATCCGCCCGTTACTTCCGCCGGTGCCCCTTTTCCCGCTTTTCCCGCCCTTCCCGTTTTCCCGCCTTCCCCCGATTTTTCCCACACTTTTCGCAGCCCCAACCTGCAGACTCTGGCTGGAGGGCAGTTTTCTTGTTATTTCCAACGCGCAGCCAAGTCGCAAGTCCTTAAGCGGTTTATTTTGCTTCACACTGATTTGCAGGCAGCGGAGGTGTCCCGAGGACCCATCCTTCCCCTCCCCCTTATCCCTCCCCCTCCCTTACACTCGAAATTAAAAATAAGGATTACCGCTATCTAAATACGAGTTATGTGATTATTTGGTGCGAAAAGTAACCGCCTTCAAGGAAAATCTTCCTTAAAGTTTTGCAGGATGCTGCAGAAGAGGAAACTTTTGTGTGTAAATTATAATTATTGTAAAATATTAGTGAATATATTCTAATATTAATTTTCTTAGTTGGGCCTTCTTTGTTTCAGCATGAAGTGTTATTTCTTGCAAAGCATATCTCCTAAAAATATAATTAACATAGAAGCTCTGCACATCTGGCAAAAAAAAATGTAAAAATCTAATTTAAAAGTAATTTAAACCATATTATTTTAGGTTCTTTTTTTTGCTTTAATTATTTACTTCTTTGCTATAACGAACCTTTTCCGCAGTGCATCTCTCCGCGATTTGCTGCTGCTGGTTTTTATGCAGCAAGTTTTTAATTAAGAAGTTTCAATTTAACATTGCCCATAGACTGCACTCCGCGCTCGAAAAGCGCATTATCATAATAATTTACTTACTCACTTAGCGGGGCGGGGCACTTCAGAGCATAATCGTCGGCCGGCTTTTTTGTTGCCGCTCCATTCACTTCCTTTCGCCTGGAGTGGCAAGGAGATAGCTTTCAATTTGGAAGTATATTCGGATATTTCGGAACACAATTAAGGCCGCCTATTACAAAGTTCGTTGAGCGACAGGCAGATCGGGGATCTGTAGAGGATTTGGTTCTTTCAAAGATGCGATATAACCATTTGCCATGCGTTGTGATTCTGTTCGTTTTATTTGTTTTGGGTTTAGCCGTTGGCGGCTACTTCACGTACATGCACCCCAAACAGATACGTAAGTGTGGTACTGCTTCTCCATTTGGTACCATTCTTGACTTAAAAACCCTTCCAGATCTTGTGAGCTGCTATCTGGAGGGTGGATCCTGCCTGGAGGTGTGGAACTGCGAGGAGAAGTTCCTGAGTCGCCATCGAACCACGTGCATCAACAAGCGGAAAGTTTGCTGCATGCCCTCGATCCAGGTAAAAAATCAGGCGGATGAATTGGTCTATATCGAGTGACGGTCTCTCGGATCCGGAACTTTCGACATCTAGAGCTAACTAGCCTGGTCTGGTACACCGATTTCTATTGCAACTCATACCTTGTATTAAATGCATCATTTCGTAGGACATTTAAATCACTGGAAAATCAACAGAACTTATTATTGCGGAAATGGGGATTTCTAAATTTTCTGTAATTTACTGAAAATGTATTATTCATTTAATTGTCCGATAGGCGCTCAAAATTATTTATTCCACTTCAATTGCACAAACTTATTATAAATTTTTAATTTTTGTATATCCTTTTTATTTAACCATATAGAGCATCCTTAAAATCCCAACAGAACAGTTTTGTGTTCGTGTAAAAGTAAAGTGACACCTTAATTATTTGTGTATCTCTTAACCATTTCCCTCCATGGACTTTCCTCGCAGTGCTTCCCCCTCCTCTTGTCACTCACATCCAGCTCTATCCAATTATCTGGCCGACTATCAGTTCACTGGTCCATCAATTGAATCGTTATGCCTGCGATAAGTTTAACATTCTGTCTGGCCAGCATCCTCCTGGCCAAAGCAACCCCCGCTGCCCGGAAGGCCCTTGGCTAATTTAGTGAGTTTGCTTTGCCATTTTCCCCACCAATAACACTCGCAACTCATTTGTCTGGGCCTGGGACTGCTTAGCCCAATCCATTCCCACCGGGGGCACTCGACGCGCAACACTTGGCATTGTCCCACACGCGGGGGGGTTTCCCCCTCCCCCTTCCCCTTCCCCTCCCACCACACCACACACACTCAATGCCATTTTCCCATCTCTAATGAAGCGCAAATGTTGATGTAAAAATTTAATTTAGTTCGCAACACAACGATGCCGCACACGCAGGTCCTTTCGACTTGGCTGGGAAAATGGCTGGGGCGAATGGAATGTCCAAATGTTTATGCATCGTGTGGCGAAACGCGTGTTTACCTTCTAATGTGTGCGTGACATGGACCCATGGGTTATATACTCGCACACACACTCACACTCATACTTACACACAGCATGCATTGAATATTACGTATACGCAGGGATGTCCTTCGGTCCCTCCGATGGCAACACACAAAAAATAATAATAAACGATGCCACCACGTACACGTATTAAAAACAAAGCGCAGCGCAGAAAACGCTGACAGGCCCTTTGCCTTCGGTTGCTCCAACTCCAGCTTCAGCCCGGGATCCTGGATCCTGGAGGCCACCTCCTCCACTTGCAGATCCACCTCCTGCTCCACTGCTTGATGCCATCCTTTGGCGAGTCCCGTGAATTCCATGGCCGCTAGAACGCTGCGAACCGGCAACAGAAGCCCGTCACAAAGCAAAGCCAACAAACTGTGAGCGGAGCAAACCAGCGACCGGAAGGGAGTGGAGTGAGGGCAGTGGATGGTAGAGGGGGTACAGGGGGCGTGACATGGAGGGGGATGAAAGGGGTTGCTGTCGGCCCAGACATTCAATGTCGTTCGCTGGCTGCCAGCGGTGTTTACGAGCACAGTGCCCTCGGGCTGACCAAAAACTAGTGTAAAGCCACATTTGAAAATCATGTTATATAATATTAATATTTAAACTAATGACCGATTACGGTTTGGTATTTATTTCATTTCATAACAATACCCGAAGGGAATTAAGTATTTACTTATTTTAATATCAATTAATAATCAAATAAATGTGAATTTAAATTGTGTAGATACTGCTATAATTGTTATTTATTTTGTTTTCATTTGGTCTAAGATTTTATTAGGTCTTGAATGACATTGATAACCAAAATGTAATGTAATTATTAATAATATCTTAAAAATGTATTTCGAATAACAAACGGTTTTAGATCAAGGATAAATTTCTGTATTTCAAAAACTTTTAGAAGCTGTGATAATTTTTTAATGATTATAAATTTCATAACGATAAAATTTTAATAATCCGCATATTGTTTTACATCTGTTCAAAAACTAAATGTGAGCTCCTAAGTGTAATAGTTAGCTTTTAATAGTTTTTCCAATTTCCTGTGCAAACCAAATATATCCAGGCTTGACCTTTAACTAAATGGGCTTACCTATCACCTGTGCATATCCCAAAATCAGATTTGCAAAGTAAACTGAAATTTAAATTAGTTTTGGCCGCGCAGTAAGTCAGTGTCGCAGGAAAACTGGCAGGCAGCGAAACTAACGAACGACATCGGCGGGTCCTGGCAAAGGACCCACTACATGGGTGGGCTGAAAGTTTGCCCCCTCCCACCTCCCTTTGCCACCCTCTTCATCCTCCACCATCGAAGCTCTCCTCTTGTTTATGGCTTTGTTTGCACTTTTGTTTATGGGTGTACATTTTAAACGCTATGAGCACCTGCTCCGCCATCGTATGTGGCTGCCTTTGTGCGCCGGTGTTCCCGTGCTTGTGTGGCCGTTCCGTGACTTGTACTTTCCCCCCTGTAACCTCCTACCCCGCTGCCCCTTTGACCCTCCGAGCACCCCCACCTACACAGATATCCACCCTTCGCTCGACGATGGCCACAGAACGAAGCCAGCCTCAGTGTCAGCTGACAGATGCAGTGATTTTAAGCGTCCATCAAAAGCTCCTGTTTGACATTTAATTGTTGCACATTGTTGTCGTTGTGGCCAAGCACCGGGAGCCACATTCACGTCAACGGAGAATCAGGCAGCCACGTTTGCTTTGGTCATTGTTCCTTGGGTTCAAGGTGAGCTGCGGCGGCCAAATTTAACACGGCCAGGCCATAAAAGACCAAAGTCATGTGCTTTATTACACATTCAACGGCAATGCGGCAGGAGATTATACCCGTAAACCAAAATACGGGAATCCAGGTGTGTGCATTGTCGTTTCGGTTGGGAATCAGAGCGTGACTCTGTTGGATTCTTGAGTTCGTCAAGGCCAGTTACATTTCGCTTGTCAGCGGACTACAGTTAACTTTAAAGCAATTGCATTAAAATCTAAACAAAATTGATGTGCAAATAAGAATGCGAAAAAAAGCTCTTAACATTTATAGAGATCTTAAAGATCTAGCATTTATTTACCTCTTCTCTTTCGAAATATCCCATTTAATGTTTGTTCCTTTTAGAAATACTCTGTTAAAAAAGAGCCAAGTAAACTGGCTTATATTTATATATATTTATATTTTATATAAAACAAGAAAATATATAAAACTAGTCATATTTAGATAAGGGTTTTAATAAAAGCAATTTAAAAATACCCCAAACTCAGTCCCTCTGCGACTGACACTAAAATTGTCCCTTTTCAAGTGAAAGTGGGAATAATATTTGGCAAAATATTAAAGTTTTTGAATTAAAGTTTAACGAGTTCTGCAGGGTGACGGTGTGGGACTCGTCGTCATTTCTGTGACAAGATGTCCATCCGCTTCATAGAAACACACAAACACAGACACACCTTGAGCATTCAGCCTTGGTGGAAAAACTTGCCAAAGTTTACACGTGTTGGCAAACGTTTTGTGGCCGGAGTTCTTGGATTATTTTTTTTTTGTCTTTCGGGTTGGCTTTTGCCTAATTTCCAACTGTCACCCGGAGATGGCTTTTGCCCCCGGAACTCACACACACACACTCGCACACATTTGCGACCATTTTCTAATGGCCTTTTCGTGGTCAAGCATTTAAGCGTTCCGGGCCCCGAACCCCAAAAACCCGTTTAGCCCTCACCTTTGACTCTGTGTCACTTTGGTTTACTTTTGTGCAACCGCAAAGTCGTTGTTGCTGTTGTAGGATTCGCACACAAACACACAGCCATACACCCATACACCCATACACCCAAACTCCATACAGCAGACACCCATACATCCATACTTATTCGTTTGCACATGCACGCTCACATACATATACACCTTTTCTGACCATTTCGCACACGATGTTGCGGTCGTGTTGACATTTTAAATGCCTTTTCATTTGTCTCCCGCCGCTCCACTCGCTTTGGGCGCTAATTTCGTTCCATTTTCGCTTAAATGCCGCAAAATTTGACTAGACATTCAATTTAATTGAACAGTGCGGTCTGACCTTAGTCATCTGGCGAAAACTGTTTGCCACCGCCTCTAAACTGCACTCTATTGGATTGTTATCGCCATTATTAGCCACTTGAGGTCTTCGAGATCATATTTGCTGCACAGTGAAAAATATTTGTGGTTTTGCAATAAATTCTAGAAGTACTTTTAAGAATGAGTCATTAAACTAAACGATCACTTTCCCATAAACGTAATGAAAATTCTTTATTTCTATCCATACAAAACTATTTCAACTTATTTATTAAAAATTCTGTTAACTTTTCATTTATTAGTAGTTTGAAATTCTTTTGCATCTGATTAAATATGACCTTCTCAAGGCAATATGATTTGTATGAAAACTGTGCTTAGTTGTTGTTTTATCTCTGCATACTAATGACTCCGCTGTGACATTTAAGCTCTGCCATGCTCGAATCTCATATGTGCGCCTAATCCTCCAGACACAATTCCCACATTCCCTCTCCTTCCATCTTATCTGGCTTTTGCTCCGCTTCTGGTGGCCGCAGCTGGTGGAAAAGTTTTGCTGCAAATACAAAATATTTTCCATATTAGTTTAGAATTTTCCCTGCCATACCATCCCCATCCCCAGCGAGTTCTGGTTTTTCTGGTTTTTAGTGGTGGCATTAATTAAATTTTCATTTCCGAAGGATACTTCCATCTGTGCCGGAGTAAGAGTTTCTAGTTTCGAGTTCCTCCGCTTTGGGGACACTTTCCGATTGAATTTTCGGCAGAGTCTTTGGGGCAACGAGTCGCAAGCATTTGTTGTTGGGGCAATTAAAAGCGAATTTTCCGCACGCAGCGCACTCGCAAAGCGTTTTGAATGTAATTAAAAACAAGAAAGGAAGCTAGCTTCGGCAAGCCGAAGCTTATATACCCTTGCAGTCATCAAATATGGCGAAAAAAATACATAACCGCTAAACAACATCGAAGCTAAGACGATTTTTCTATTCATTTTTCATATTTTCGACTATAGATCATATGGGAGCTATATGATATAGTTGTCCGATTTTCATCAAATTTAATTCGTAATTGAAGAGTCGTTAGAAAACTTTAAATTTCAAAAATCATGCTTATCAAATAAAAACCAACGATGTTATAATTTTATTTCCGTTATTTCTATATAGATTTTTCGATCTTTCCTATGGCACCTATAAGATATAGTTGTCCGATTTTTATGAAACTTTTTTCTCAATATAAGGGTTGTTAAAAAACTTGATATTCAAAAAATCATGCTCGTGGGATAAAAAACAACGATGCTATCAATTTATTTCCATTAATTCTATATATATTTTTTGATCTGTCCTATGGCAGCTATATGATAGAGTTATCCGATTTTGTTCAAATTTAATCCGAAATTCAATAACAGTTAGAAAACGCCATCTTGAAGAATTCAAGTCGATCTGATCAAAAACAACAGAGTGAGAATTTTTAATTTCATTCTCTTGTATTGGAGCTATCCGATATAGTCGGCCGATCCGGCCCGTTCCGACTTATATACTGCGTGCAACAACTATACAACTTTTGGGAAAGTTTCAGCACGATAGCTTTAAAACTGAGAGACTAGTTTGCGCGGAAACGGACAGACGGACAGACGGACAGACGGACAGACGGACAGACGGACAGACGGACAGACGGACAGACGTACATACATATTTCGATTCAGATGGTGATGCTGATCAAGAATATATATACTTTATGGGGTCTGAGGTGTCTCCTTCACTGCGTTGCAAACTTCTGACTGAAATTATAATACCCTTTTGCTCTGCAAGGGTATAAATATCACTTATACGACGCATGTTCCCCAAGGGGCCGATTCACGAAGCCTATTTATGACCGCCCAACATGGCTATGTTTTTTATCCCTAATTCGTTAGGAGTAAATGGCTGATTGCCAAAGAAGCACGCACATTTTTCGGTATTTAAGTTTCATTTTTATGGGGCTCAGCTGATATTGCCAAATCAATTTGGATGATTCATTAGTCGTTTCTCTCGCCTGCGAGGAATTTTCCAAAAACTTTTCTCCCCGCTTTGCCAATTATCCCGCACAATGACGGCTGTCGGACAATTAAATCGCTTGCGATTGATTGATTTTAGTGGCACTCAGGAAAGAGCATTCGTTAAATACGTTCTGGAGTTTTGCAATAAATCTGTCGACAAATTTTAACACGCTGTCATGCATGGAAAATGGCAAATAATCAAGTAAGCCAACAAACAGCAAATAAATAAATAACGAAGCCACCAGCCAGCCAGCCAGTCAGCCAGCCGGAGCGAAAGATGAAACGCTGGCTGGCATTGGCAAATATTTGTGAAATTCTAAACTGTAATCAGGGCAACGTTATGGCGTTAGCAGCAAGTGTGCTTAATGACAAAACTTTGCAAATCAGTAAAGCATTTTATTGCCACACACTTGCCAAGAAAGGGACGCACATATTTGTAATATGAAAACCTCATAATCACATCCGGCACAAATGCACAAACGGAGCCCAAAACTTTCTATCTCTCCAGCCAGTCATCCAGTCAGTCAGTCAGCCATCGTGGCAAACTCATTTGACTGCATTAGAATTATCAAGGCAGTGCGGCGAAGGAGTTGCCGGGGAAACCGGAGCAACAACTTCCTGTCTGCATTTCCCCTTTTCGCCCAGTGGCGGAAAAACATTGCGCATACGACCCGTGCAACGACGCTCGAAACTTTGCCACCCACAACTCAGCTGCAGCAGCAGCAGCTGCAGCTTCAGCTTTCACCTTCGGCTCCAGCATATTTGTCGCTAAATCAGTTATGAACGCCACAACAACAACATTAGCAAAGAGAGCAAGGCAAGATTTTCCCAGCTCCCCGTGGAAAAACTTCGTTTACCTGTGCAAAAATTTAATTACAACTCGCTTCGCCAGACAAGAGTGCACGAAATTTTTCATATTCATAATTAAAACTTTTGGCCATGGCATCCAATCTAATCAGCGACCGAAATTTTCCGCAGCAAATTGGTTTGACATTTTCAGTTTATTCACAACCCCCCACCTTTCCGCTCTTCCAACGGCTGCTAACGCTAATAAATAAATTATAATTTCAATAAGGTTTTCGCTGGCAGCCCTGAAAACTGAAAAACTAATTTGCCACTCCCCCTCCCCGAAAAATGGGAACAGACAGGCTTTCCCCAGTTAAGCCCGGTTGTTGTTTTAGTTGTTATCGCCTTTGTAGTTATTGTGCCAGCTGATTTTGTTGTTGTGAGCGCTGCATTTTCGTGAAGATGAAAGTTTGAGGGGGCTAAGCCAACAATACGGTAATTTATGTTATTTCGCTGGCAACTCGGTTTGTTTGTATATCATTCCGCTGGCAAGCTAATTTGTTTTAGTTGGAAACGCGCTACCTGAAGTGAAAATGTTTGCATATTTACTTTAAGAATTTAGTGGTATTAAAAAATAAAGTTTTCAAAGTTTTGCATTTCATGTAAAACAGATTTGTTTTGTAGAAAGAGCCAAGAGTCTTTAATAATATTATATTACGTTTTACCGTCATATTTATGCTTATTGTTTCTCAATTTATACATTATAGTTTTCAAGTTGATTTTACTGGTAATTGAAATATTACAGTTACAAGTGCAATAAACTTTTATTCTCTTAACAAAACCAAAACATTTTAACGGAGATTTAGTTCCTCAGATAGTCAAAGTGAGTTTCTTAAAGTTAATGCTTAAAAGTAACTAAAGCGAATAGCGCACCTTATATTAAAGGACTTTTGGCCAGTTTCCCGAAGGCACTGTAAGTTTGTTTTGCTGGCTTAACCCCGTCGAACCGATTAAGATCTCCCAGGCGCAACATAGTGGTCTTAGCCCCCTTCGACCACGAACAGCCAGCTTAGCGCCCAAGTGCAAGCTACAAGTCAGCCAGTCGCCTGCAGAAAGCAGCTGGGGATTCTCTCCGGCTTCCCAGCTTTTGAGTTTCCCGGCTTCATCTGCATTCGCCTCGCACACCCACACGCACACAATCTTAACTCACACACAGACACTAGCACACATACACAGACACTCAAGTTGAATCTGCAGTTCCAGGTCATGGACAAAATGGCGACGCCTACGCAGCAGCAGCGTCAGATAGATAGATAGATGGATATATAGAGTGAGAGTGCAAGAGAACCCGAGAAGCGGAGAAAAATATGCGAGAATTTGCTGTTAAGAGCAAAACGCGAACGGAGCGCTCATGTCCGTGTCCGTATTCCGTATTCCGTATTCCGCTTTTCGTAGTCCGCTTTTCGTAGTCCGTGGTCCGTGCTCCGCAGTCCGTAGTCCGTGGTCCTTAGTCCTTAGTCCCCAGGCCGTGTCCAAGTCCCGGCCTCTTGGCAAATGGCCAGCCCACGTGTGTGAGTGTTTCTGTGAGTGTGTGTGTGTGTGTGAAAATGCCTATGTGTGCCTGACAATAATCCAAAAGTTTTACAAGCAAAACGAGAGACCATTACATGGCAAAAGGGCTGGCAGAGTCAGAGCCAGAGACACAGAAACAGAAACCACTTGCAAGCAATTTTCATCAGCGATTCCTCCTTTTTTTTACCCCCTCCCCTTCCCCTCCCCCTCCACGTGCTCGTATGCGTGTGTGGCTGCTGCTGCTACTGCTGCTGGTGTGTGAGTGGAACATTTTCCAGTGCCGCTGACAGCTGGCAGCGTGTGGATTTCAGTGGCACGACCGCAAGAGACGCCGCTGCCACCACCGCCATTTCCATCTCCATCGCCATCGCCAGCTAAAAACAGGACCTCAACAACAGGGCATGACAACAAAAGTTCGGTGCACAGAAAATTATGTCCCGGTGGCTTCAATATTTTTATGTTTCAAAACATAAATTACGATAAAAAAGATATCTGATGTAACCTAAATGCTGTAAAAACTTCAGCTGAAAACTTAAGTATTAATCCATTTAAAAATTTATATATTTCTTTAATTTATCTTTATGATAAATCTCAACAGTCTCAGCACAAGTAATTAATGCACGAGTTCTTTTTAAATATTTCAATTAATATTTTGAGCCTCGTATTCTAGCATTTAAATTGTTTTAGAAAAAGATAATCCATATATGTCTTATATTTGAATTTAAATTGACAAAGTATTAGCTTTATAATTGCGACTCAAAAATAAAACTATTTTTCCCAGTTTAATAAACTTTAATGGATAAAGTTTGTAACATATGTTAAAGAAATAAACCGATCTACAAATGAGCACTGAGTTTTCTCAGACCAGATAAAAACTTCAGAAAGGGTAAACTCGCATAAAATGTTAACCGAATGTGATATTAACATTTCTCTCAGTACAAGTGTAAGTCGCAGTCTCATTCTGGGAACTGGAGCCGGAGCTAAAGTTCATTGTCTACGGCAGACGACGCCACAAAAGGTAAACGATTTGAGGCTCTGTTCCCGATCCGAATAAAAGACCAAAAGCCAGTGCTTAGCAGTGGTGCGGGAAACCACACGGGCGGCGGATTCTGGGGGGAGTGCTTACCATAAAACTTGGCCAGACTCGGACTCTCACACTGGCTCGCCCATTTGCCAAATGGAAAATATGCTGAAATGTGGAAAATAAAAAGTTTGCACTTTACACTGGGCACAATGCATCCACGCCCACTCTTCCCATTTTTAGCAGCTGGGTGTTAATAAATTTAAAGTTGGTTTTAGTCCCCTGCTCGAAAAGTAACAGCCGAGAACTTTCTCCTGCCCATTCCTTGTCTTTAACAAAAGCAAAAAAAAAAAAAAAATTGGTCAAAA